GTCATTTTCATTGCGTTCATCCTTCCGACCGAATAACTGCTATTTCTTCATATTCTATGATATCTTGATTCAAAAACAGTTGAGTTCACCTATGTATGAAGTGTAATTCAACAAACTGACGAGTGCATTAAAATGAGGGTTGTTTTGATATGCGGAAGATAATCTACCATGTGCATGCATCCAGCATTTATGTTTGCTCCCTGTGTAAGATCCTTACCGCGCATGTTCTGTCAGAAATATATCTTCGTCTCTGGTCTAGCATTAAGAATATGCGTTATTTATGTGTCATCGTTTATAGATTTGTAAGAGGAGTGTTGAAAAGTTCAGTTGCGATCTTTTACAACGAGAACTATTTTACGAGGTTTTTGCAATTACATTCGATTTTGCTGGAATATCTGAGAAATGGATTGATTTGATAGATTCGATATGAATTTTGTAAACGAAACAAGTTGTGGTGGACAGCTGCGCAGCACATCCGTAAGCAGTACATTACTGTCATCGTAAAGGAGGATCAGGAAGATTCTCAGGTGTCTCAGGCAAGACTGCGGTCAGGAATTTATCGGATCAAGCCGCATATGCTTTGTTATCAACCAGAAATGGGGAAAGTGGTCGGATCTGATAGAGTGCAGCTGTCTAATAACTTGATTGTGACCGAGGCATATGAATTCGACTGAAACACACAATTGCATCATGCTTTGTTGATCGATTGCTACTTATAAGACTGATTTATTCATAATGGTTATTAGTCTCATGAGATGAAAGTGAAGATGATTCTGCAGATGTTCTGACAGGATGATTGATAAAGAAGTGCTTCGATCGGGTTATTTGTCGTTAGGCGACATCATTACATCAAATATTGATTTACTCTTTTTTAACAGGTCTCTTTGTAAGCCGTAAAATTTGAAGCTGTCCAAGTAGACATAACGATGTACTTGATCTAATGTAACATTGTTCAGTTGCCTTTGCATTTGAACGAGTTTATTCCGAGAAGGGAAATTACACTGATATTGTTGATTTTTGTGGATGAATTCTCGTCCTTTTATTCGATTATGTTAATGTACCACTGCAAGCATAAATGAACAAATACGTATTTTTATTTTTTATGCCATGAGTACATTTGTATCAAATGTTTGCTGTTAAATAAATTTCAAAAATTACGTTGTAACGTCTTCGAATTTAATGATATTATCTATTGTGTCAGCGATACATCCCGTTTAGTCATTGCTGTTTTCCGTTTGCTCTCAGCTTTCCTCTCGTTTCATCTTTTCTTGAGTTTGTTCAGCGTGAAATATTTCTCGAAATGAATAAGTATCCAGTAATGTACATAATAATATCATGTGTTGCATGCACGTATCACAGACTATAAATGCATTAAGGCTTATGGTAAATAGGTGTTGTTTTCATGGGCAAAAGAGATTATCTCCATCATTGTTTCATGCCAAACGCACACAATACCATCCATCTTGCTCGGTTTTTCACACCGTTTCATTCACATCGTGTCGGTATTATTATTATTAT